GTCTGCATAAGTTCTCATAGCAAGGAACATGATAATTCTAATGCCACACAACCCATTAAAACAGAACTGCATAGCTTTTTTTCCTGATATAAACGTACTTCTAAACAAATATATTTAGGTTAAGTGTTTGTTAGCTGTTCTTTTCCAGAGCACACACCATGACTTAACACTTGGTTTCTCTTATTGTTTTATTATAGATTGGCACTGGGGACAGAGAAACTCGTGCAAGGCAGGCTCTATCCACGATGGGTGCGTCTGTATTCAGGTTAGAGATTGCATTCACCTAAGGAAATAAGAAACAGGAGGAAGATTTAAGCTTTAATCAGTGGAACACTTTAATTGATTTTACATTATCCTTGGTTGATTGAATTTATGCATTCATGTGCCTGGTTAAGTGTTTTTACAACAACTGTTAGATGTTAAAATTTGACTTAAAACTGGCCTCAACTGGATTTGCTTGTTATTATATCTACACTTCAGTGCAATATTTATTATCATAATCTGACACACTTTTTGGCGTTTCAGTGGAATCACCTTGACCAAACTTGTGGGAGTTATTGTCCTACGTTTTGCGAAATCTGAAGTTTTTGTGGTACCTACTTCTGAATCCACATTGAACCTAAAATTTCAGTTACATATTAGCTTGAATTGCACATTTATCATGTCAATATGACTACAGGTCTATTACTTCCAAATGTATTTGGCGCTTGTCATAATTGGATTCCTGCATGGGCTTATCTTCCTACCGGTTAGGATCTAGATAATTTGTCTGGCATCTCTTATTGTTTCCACAGAATCCCATAAAAGAACTTCACCCATAAATTACTAAATCTTTCAGGTCGTTTTGAGTTTATGTGGGCCTCCTCCAAAATCGGGGAAGCCAATAGAACAAAGTCAACCACCTTCAGATTCAACCGAGCGGACTTGACAGGATTTTATTTGAGTTACATACTCAAAAATTGAAATAGGCTAGTTTGGTGCTTCCTCTCTGCGTCCATGTACATGTATATCCATCTGTCCCAGTGCAGGAGCAGCAGTGAGGTGTACAGCATTTGCTGAAGGTGAAAGCAGTCTTACAGATCCGTAGAAAAATATTGTACATATCCATGTTAGCATAACTAGGTTATTTGGTGCTACACATGGCGGGGAAGGAAACTAAGAGGCGAATTGGGCTCGGTGTAACTAGCTGGCTGCAGTCCGCTGGTTTGTTTATGTGTCAGAGTGTCACCAAGACTCGAGACTAGAGAGTAGTGCTGCTGTTTTGGTGTTGCTGTGGCATTGAGCTTGTGTCTTCGTTCCGTATGCTGGTACTGGTAAGGCTTGTTTTTATAGTCACATGCGTCGTGCTCCGTTCTAGCCTAGCATATGCACAATGGATCACATGGAACAAGTGTGATGTTTCTGGCGTTGTCCAGACACATGCTGTAGCTGGAGACCGCACAGTCAAACAAATCTCATTGTTTAGTAGACTGTAGATTTGGTAAGATTTTCTGAACCCAATGGAATGGTGGATTTTTCACGTGACCTTCACGATCCCTTCTGAACCCCATCCGTCGGCACCCACATGCTGTGCCACCGTGACACGCCATTAGCACAGCCCTAAAGACTGCTGATGGCGGCGCAACAACAGCTTCTTGCTGCACCGTCTCGTTTGAAGCAAATCTATGGCGATGGCTTGGGTGAATTCAAACCCTTTGTCATGGTGCAATAGGAAACCTCATGAGGACCGTCAATGATAAGATAATCCTCGAGCACTAGCTGCAATTGTGGTTGTGTGCTCCAGAACCCATAATCCGTAAATCATGCCAAATATTTTACCACAGTTGATGGTATATCTGCTAAACTGGATACTGAACTGAAATCATCATTGACTGAAATAAAATCCACTGCTATAGTATTTATTGACAGCTGACCGTACTATGTTTATTTTCTGATTGGGACGAGTCTCTGAGACTCTGATCGTACTGCAGCTGCATTACGTATGTCAGGCCACGTTTAGTTCCCCAAATTCCTGAATTTGACCCTATGTAAAAAGAATATTTTTCGTCACATCAAATTTGCGGTACATGTATGGAGTACTAAATGTTGACGAAATCAAAAACTAATTGCACAGTTTGGTTGTACTTTGCGAGACGAACGTTTTGAGCCTAATTAGTCAACGATTGGATAATTATTACCAAATACAAACGAAATACTACAATGCGCTACAATGCCGATACAGTGCCCTAGGTTTCCGGTGACGCCGAATCCGGCCGGAACTAAACATGGCCTCAGATACATGCGCCCGCGGCCCGCTCACTTAGGCCTAGGCTCTGCCACTAGAGCTAGGTTTCAAATCCAGTACATGGCTTCATGCGCAGCGGCGATCAGGTGGTCTTTAAATCTAGCGATGTCACCTCGAATATGATACGGAAGTGTTAGAATAATAATAATAAAATAAATTACAGAAGTCCACAGTAATCCGGGAGACAAATTTATTAAGTCTAATTAATCTATCATTAGCACATATTTACTGTAGTACCACATTGTCAAATTATAGACTAATTAGGCTTAAAAATTTCGTCTCGAAATTAGTCGCAATCTATGTAATTAGTTATTTTTTAGTCTATACTTAATACTACATGCATGTGTCCAAACATTCGATGTGATAGAGAGTAAATTCTAGGGGGAGGAACTAAACAAGGTCTCAATCAAAAGGACAGTGACAGTGGAGCAGCGTGCTAGAGTAAATTTCACTGATAGTCCTCGAACTTGTCTCAAGTTCTTATCTAGATCCCGGTACTTTTAAACTAGATCCCGGTACTTTTAAACTACACATTTAACTCCCTAAACTTGTTAGGGGTTCTCGTCCAGGTCCTGGTACTTCTAAATTGTACGTTTAGCTCCCTAAGCTTGTCTCAAGTTCTCATTCAAGTCCCGAATCATGCATTTAGCTTCCTAAACTTGTCCCAAGTTCTCATCTCAGTCTTAGGACTTAAAAAATACATGCCCAATTCTCTAAAATTGTATTATTGTACTATTTTGGTCCATATTCTCCGCACACAATGCATTGCATGTGCAGAACTAGCTTCCTAGGACCTGCTTCGTTGCTTGACCGTCCTTGTTGTGCTTGCCCTACCACACGTCCCAGTCGAGCCTTTGCCTCTATGGCCCTCCTCAATTCCGCTTGACTTGCTCCTGCTCCACCTCACCATGGCATCGACCTTTGCCTCGTGGCAATCGCCTTCAACAGCACTACCGCCACCACCATAGTCATTTCGCTCCCTCGTCGAGCAGAAGCTCATGCTCATTCTGACCATCTATTCACACTTAGTTCCCCACACTCCCATAATAGTACAACAATACACCTTTAGGGCCCTGAGTGTGTAATTTAAAAGTATCGGGACCTGTATGAGAACTTGGGGCAAGTTTGAGGAACTAAATGCGCAATTTAAAGGTACTGGGACCTGGATGAGAACTTAGAACAAGTTTAGGGAGCTAAATATGTAATTTGAAAGTACCGGAGACTGGATGAGAACTCGAGACAAGTTTAAGAACCGCTAGTGAAATTTACTCTATGCGCTATACCTACCAAATAATTTAATGACAAATCTGAAAGTCACGCGATCTTAGGGCCGTTTGGTAGCGTCGAGCAGTTTCTCCGTAAAATCACTTTTTCTCATCTAGACGTTAAAATTTTGTACAGATTCTAGTGGGAATCAAATAGGAATTACTCCATTTACACTGGAAGCTAGCTAGGAACTATAAATACCCGTTCCCTCTTGGTCCCTATTCAAACAGATGGTGCATGCAACTAGAACATGAGAGGCCATCAGATGAGCCGTCGCTAGTCTCTGCCAAGCGGCTCCCAGCGCAGGCCCATCATCTCCTTTCTCCTGTCTCGCGGCTTCTCACCGGACCACATGATCCCGTCAGTCCGATCGCACCTAGGTCAGTGGAGCGCTGGAGCGGAGCGGCGAGCGGGGGGTCGAGGTCGACTGGGAGGGGCGTCGGGCGTGAGTGACGAGAGACACGACTCGGAGTCGCTCACGCTACCCGGTTACAAGTGGATCCCCATGTCCACCAACATGCAAATTCGCTCGGTTGGTGGTTTGTTCGATTGTTCGTGAAAAGATCTGGCTTGGTTGATTTGTGTGAGAGAAAATATCGTTTCGGTTTGAAAATTTACGATCATCTACGAATGATAGCGCCCAAACGAATGCGGTGATGCTGCCGCGCGTCGCTGCGAAGCGCGCACCACAGAACCACGGGCCACCGGTCAGTGGGGTGAGGTACGGAGCCTCCTGACCGGCCCAAGCCCAAACGTCCGCGAGCCTAGCCCGGGTCGGACGACACCGGCGTAGCCGCGCAGAGCGCAACCGGAGCCGTCTGTTTGAAACACACACGTGCACGTGCATGCCCGTTGGAGAGGGGAGGCGACCGTTACAGACGGGCAGACGGCCGGCCCTTATCGAGCTGTCCGGTCCAGCGGCCCACTAGCCGTTGGCCTGCTTTTCCCCCTTTCAAACCCCTTCCCTCTCACGCAGCCTCGCCGCACCTAAATTCTCCCCTAGACAAACCCCAGCCCCCTTCCCTCTCAACGCTCTCTTCCGATTTCTTCTCCAAGAACAAACCAAAAACAAAATAAAACCCGCTCCAAAATCTTTCCAATCCTTCCTCTCTATCTCTCTCCTCCTTCGAATCCCAAGGAGGCGGCCAGAGAGGATAGAGAGAGAGTAGGACTAGAGAGCCGTTGCTCTGGTTGTGTTATTATTAACGCCGCCGCCGCCCCCTGCATTCGTCGTATGGTCCGCGTCGCTCCGGGGCTCCTGCGTCCGTAAGGCACCGCCGCCGCGTCTCGGCTGGATCGACAGGCCGGCCGATCCGTCTCCTCCTCCTACTACTGCGGGTGCGCTTGACGAATCGCTGCGCTGCGCTCTCTCCACGGGAATCGGGGGCCGTTTCTTGAATGGAATCCTGAGCCGCCGCAGTGTGCTGTGTGCAGGTCGGCGTCGGGGACGATGGCGGCGAGGGCGGCTGATGAGAACAGGAGGCCAGCGGCGGGGAAGCCCGCGCCAGGCGTCCGAGGTGGGTGCGGGCGGCGGCCCGGGCTGATCTCTTCTTGGATTGTTTGCTGCGTCGCGAGTCCATGGTTTCTGATCTCCTGATTTGTGCAGAGATGGGGAGCCGGCGCGCGCTCACGGACATCAAGAACCTCGTCGGGGTTGCCCCGTACCCCTGCGCCGTCGCCAAGAAGCCCATGCTGCAGTAATCTCCTGCCCCAAGATCGTGTCTTTTTCGTGGTTCTTGGTGTCCAAATCTGTTTAACCGTGGCGTTCCTTTCTTCTCTCCAGGAAGAGAAGGGACGAAAAGAAGACAGAGTTGCCAAGCAGCCGGCCCATGACAAGGTTAGGACGCGTGCTAGCTGTTCTTGCACCTCTGACGTTTCTTGCAGGCTTTGATTTGATCTGGGTATTGCTTTGGTTGTTCAGGAAATTTGCCGCCTCCTTGGCGAGCAAAGAGCAACCTGAATGTCAGCCGATCCTAACTGATCTAGAACCCGGAGTTGATCAACAGAAGGAATCAATCGGCGATGTCACCTTTGATATCGACGTGGAACTCTACGAGCCGGTAGACGATAGTGATAGTGACATCGACATGGTATTTGCACTTCTGATTTTTGCTCTTGCTCAGAAAGGGATGGGTTTTGGGCATCTTTGTCATGGCTCTGGCTTACTGTTATGTTTGGCAATGCAGACAGAGAACAAGGAGATGAACCAAGATGAATCGCTCATGGATATTGACAGTGCAGACTCGGGGAACCCGCTTGCAGCAACAGAATATGTTGAAGAGCTTTACAAGTTCTACAGAGAAAATGAGGTGGTTTATTGTCAGACGATGCTTATCTTGTTCCTTTTTGGTAGATAATCTCAAATCATGAATTCTGAACTTTTGCATGAATATCACGAATGCGCAGATGCTTCATCTATAATGTGCTTATAAGAATGAACCAGTTCCTTGCGAAACTGAATAAATTAGACCGGAAACCTGTAAGGACCATTCTATTTCAGACAAGAATCTTAACTGCAGTATGGTATAATGTGGAAATGTATGTCTAACGCTGATTAGTATCTTTTATGCACTTTAAGCAACTAGGTAAAAAAATGTCAGTATGTTTTGAATCAAGTGATACTGATATAGCACATTGGTCCACCTCACAGCCAGGAGTAGGTAACTATTGTGCTAGTTGTCATGTGCAACACATTGCAAAGTTATGCTGCGCTAAAATCATCACTACATAATACTTGTACGATTGGAACCACTTCATCTGTTATACAACTGTGAAAGCTACAACAGTTCATAATGTCTTTGTACTACTAAAATTGGTTCCTTCAGTATTTTTGAAGCAAATCGTGGTCACCAGAATGAAAACTTATTGCAGACAGTATCCTTACATTCACAAAGACTTATGCAGGCTTCTACTATCTTGGAATTTTTCTATTGCAGCTTTTATTATCTTTTCAGTATTACCAATGTGGTGCTTTATGCAGGCTAAGAGTTGTGTAAGGCCTGATTACATGTCCAGTCAACAAGATATAAACTCAAAGATGAGAGCGATTCTGATTGACTGGCTGATTGAGGTACAAAAAGCATGGTCCTTACAAATTGTTCTGATCTGAAACTGCATGTTTTAATATTTTTACTGATCCTTTTGCCAGGTTCACTACAAGTTTGACCTGATGGATGAGACGCTCTTTCTTACGGTAAACATAATAGATAGATTCTTGGAAAAGGAAGTGGTTCCAAGGAAGAAGCTACAACTGGTTGGAGTCACAGCTATGCTTCTTGCTTGCAAATATGAGGAGGTCTCAGTTCCAGTTGTTGAGGACCTTGTGCTCATTTCTGACCGTGCCTACACAAAAGGGCAAATTCTAGAAATGGTAATCCACTAAATACAATTTGCACTCACACTGAATTCATTCTTGGTTCTTTTATATTGCATTATCTAAACGTACAATGATCATAGATTAGGATCCATACTACATCAGCAAATAAGTAACATTTCCTTACAGCAGACATGGATCTTTTACTGCAAAATTGTAATTATATCCTTTCTACATAAGTGCAACATGACAGAGTTGGTCAATTTGTAATCTTTTGAATTATTTCTCGCACTTCTGCAAATCCTTGCACAGTCTTCTTTTTTTAGAAGATGGTGTACACTTGATCATGATGATATCCATATACTGCTTTAGTGAGTAAATAACATTTACTTAAAGCAGACAAAGATTATTACTGCAAAAATGCAACTCTATCCTTTCCCATGTCAATTGTAATCTTTCGGATGATTTCTCCATGTTTTGCATACCCTTGCATTCTTTCTTCTTTTATATTATAGTGATTATTTGTTATTTTTGGCTAAGAGTTGAAAATCTTCTGATTGAGCAGGAAAAGTTGATTCTGAACACGCTGCAATTCAACATGTCTGTTCCAACACCTTATGTCTTCTTGAAGAGGTTTCTGAAAGCTGCAGATGCAGATAAACAAGTGAAATATCACTAAACTCTGATCTTCTTTTTGTCTACTTGGATAAACAAAACACCAGTAGTAGTGATCTTTTGGTTTTACGATTGACACTGCCCACTGTTGTATCTCGCAGCTTGAGCTAGTGTCATTTTTCATGCTGGAGCTCTGCTTGGTAGAATATCAAATGCTGAATTATCGGCCTTCGCATCTGGCTGCTGCTGCGGTTTATACTGCACAATGTGCTATTAATCATTGCCCTCACTGGACAAAGGTTTGCGAGTCACATAGCAGATACACTAGCGACCAACTCCTGTAAGTCCATTTCAAGTCACTTCCTCACTGCATTTACAAGCATCTGTATCCTGACTTTCTGTGTATCTTTTGCTGTTCTCTCAGGGAGTGCTCGAGGATGATGGTCGACTTTCACCAGAAGGCTGGAACTGGCAAGCTCACTGGCGTGCACAGGAAGTACAGTACCTACAAGTTCGGGTGCGCGGCCAAGACTTTGCCTGCGCAGTTCCTGCTGGAGCCAGGAGGGACACCGCCTCCTTCAGGTGCAATCTAGTTGAATCGCCCTATTCAACTGGGTGGTGGATTTTTTAAGTTTTTAGCATACTCCGTGAACAAGATGCAGAAAACATCGTGTTGATGTTGCCCAAAAGCGCATCGAATTTCCTTGGAGAGTTATGATTAACTGTTTTTTTTTTATCTATGCCCTGAATGACGAGTGACGGTCGGTCAGGTCGTGCAGTTATACTGCGGCTAATAACGAACTGTCCTGTTCAGGAATGCTGTTGGAACCTTGTAAAGAAAACAATTTCTGAATCAAATGGTGTCCAAAATGTTCTCTCATTTCGATGTTCACTTGATGGTGTCGATGTTGTTGGAACCTTGTTCTCTCATTTGACATTTGAACGTGGGCACGTGACTGATGCCGCCCCTCGCCGGTCTTAGTGGAGCGGTGCCACTCAAATGTAGCGCAGACGCGCAGCCAGATATTTGAAATCTGTCTTGCCATGCAAAGTTTTTAAAACATAATATACATTTGTTTTAAACATTTTCTAGATTTTTCTATACATTTTTTCTTATTTTCCTAGAGGTAAACCTCATTTTTCGAAGTTTCCAAAGATGTTTTTTGTGAATCTAAATATTTTATTTGAAATTTTCAAATCTAAATCTTTAATTCTTTTTTGGGAATTTTAAAAAGTTTAGAGATGTTTTCTATGATTTAAAATTCTTGTCTAGTATTTACAGATTATTTAATTAAAAAAACAAACCGGCCTTCATACGAAAGAGATATAACTTATAAGATGTCTGGCTGTTGATGCTAAATCGGATCAAGGCACTAGCAAGAGCTAGATCGTTTGAGCTGCACATGGTTGAGATACACGGAGGAAGCTCTAAACGGCGAGATCGATTTGACGCTTGTTCTACCTAGAACGCTGATCGTCTATGATCTTGTCATATAAATAAAGGATGATAATCTTATCTTAGTAGCAAACACACACATAATTTATAAGTTTTGAGATTGGATGAGCCTCCAAAGGAAAATCTCCATTTGACCTTGGACTACCAAAACCGGTTTAAACGGTGTTCATGTTTATAGAGAAGCTAGCTTGAGGGTGGTTTTTCTGTAATTTTCATTTTTGCAAATTTGACCAATTTAATTCAAATTTGATCACTTTTATTTACACGTGGTTGTTTAGTCTATCTTTATTCTTTAACTTTCACGTTCATGTTTTGGCTGTCACGTTGGTTTTAAAGTTTGCAGAGAAAAGTTAAACCCGTTATTAGAAGAGACCGAGTTTCGGCTGTCAAAATGTGGGCTACGGCCCATGAAGCTGTCCTGTCCAGAGTCAGCTCGGCCCGGACTCCCCGACTCCCCGTTCCCCCAGCTACGCTCACGCCCCCACGCCCGCCTGCGCAAAAGCCAATTGGCGTCACGTCCTTGCCTTTCCGCCAGCGGGGTCCACTGGAAAGAGAAGAGGGAACAGAGGGGGCGACGCCGTCACGATTCGCGCTCGCGATTTGCTCCCCTTTTCCACCTCCCCGTCCGTCTCGCGGGAAATCACGCGCAGCGACGCTCGAATCACCTCGATCCAACAGGGGAATCAGCACGGGGCAGCCTCTCCGACCCATTCCCACAGCCGGTTGGGCGAGTCGTCGGCTCAGGTTTCCTTCGAGCTCCTCTGTTCCTTTCAATTCCTTCAAATTCATGCTGCCATGCCCCACGGGAGGTTCTCTTGCCCGTCACGTAGCTGCGCGTTCCTTCTGGTTCTTCTCGAAGGAGATTGAGCGATCTGATGCGGTTTCGTGTTTAATTTTGGTCGGTTGCAACCCCTTTTCGTTGCCTAGGTTTTTGGTGGGGTTGGTCGTGTTGGTGGTCTCAATGTAGTTGTACTGTATTCAGTTCATTATCAACTCTACGGGACTAGTTAGATTGTTTGCGTTTGGATGTTTTGTGCTTCATTCATGGATCATCGACCAGTCCGTGGGAATGAATTTCCCAGGTTCAGGATTTCACACTTTTGAGCTCACATTGCAGAGACTGGGCGTCTGGATCCAGGAGGTTTGATCCCGTTAATTTGAATTGAAGTGCCAGCTTTCGGTCAGGAAGGTGATGTTGGATGATGCTGACGGACTTTGAAAGCATACGGGTTCAAAGAAGTGTTGTCTGTCACCATGAGGGTCAATATTGGGCTCCTAGTGCCCTTGATGGCACAATACTCCGCACCCATATGGGCTACTTTAGTTGCTGGGTTCTTCATGCTGCTTGCGCTTTCACTCTCCATGTACCTAATATTTGAGCATCTCTCAGCATACAACAATCCAGAGGTTTCTAGTTTCTATTTTTGCAGTCCTATCATCATTTTTTTACATAATTCTGTTTATCAAGAACCATCGCAAAGCATAATTTTCACTGTTTTAGGTTCTGTTCTACTTCTACAGGAACAGAAATTTGTACTGGGTGTTATTCTCATGGTCCCTTGCTATGCAATTGAGTCGGTAAGGCCTCTAAAACACTTTATTTATGTGCTACGTTACTCCATCAGCGTGTCTAATATTCTTCTTTTGGAACAGTATATTTCTTTGATAAATCCAAATACAAGTGTTTACTGTGGCATCCTACGTGATGGTTATGAAGCATTTGCAATGTACTGCTTTGGAAGATATATTACTGCATGTTTAGGTAAGTTATGCCTATAGACATTGCTTTCTTAGAATACATGTAGTGTTGTGTTCTTACTTCTAGCTGTCACTGTATTTTGCTTTTGCATATGGAGTGTTATTTCAAAGAGCAGGAATGTAACATAATTTTGAACAATGCAATCTTTTTTGTCCTAATAAATTAGCTTCTTGTATGTACCACTGTGGGCCTGCCGTCGTGCATACTGGAGTCGCATCAATGTGTTGTAATTCGGGGGCGCAATCTTATTTATTACACTAGATGCTAAGAATATCAGGTAGTTCATCATAAGGTTACTGTAGCATTAGCAAAATCGAGGCACTGTTTCAGAGTCAAATATTGTCCAGTGGCAGGCAGGCAGCAGTCTACTTATATCATTTCTCTTTGTAGTCCAGATACTGTTTCAGCTTGCAATTGCTAGATTGTAATTTTAAAATCCAAGGCTAAAAGAAACCCCTATATTTCAATACCGGATTACAGCAATCTGCAATCTGGTTTCCACCAGCCTTTAAAATCTACAAGGTGCTTTTCACAATCTTCAGCTAAAACAATCAAACCCTTACATTTGTCTTTCTGATACACTTCATGATATATATTGTTTGGTGCACTTGCAGCTTTCATATTTTGTTCTCTTCATTTGTGTGCGTTTATTATGTCTGATCAAATGTAGGTGGGGAAGATAAAACAATAGCTTTTTTGAAGAGGGAAGGTGGCTCTGGTTCTGGGCAGCCTCTACTGCATCATGCATCTGAGAAGGGAATCATACACCATCATTTTCCTGTAAATTTTGTATTGAAGCCCTGGAGATTGGGGACACGGTTCTACCTGATTATCAAATTTGGAATCTTCCAATATGTATTTCCACAAGCCCTTGCAAATTCTTTTATCTGAGAAGTCAAAAATAAGACTTAGTTATGTCCTTTTTGCACCTGCAGGTGATCATAAAAACCCTCACAGCTACATTATCTCTTCTTCTAGAACCTTTTGGTGTTTATTGTGATGGAGAATTCAATTTACGATGTGGGTAAGCCAAACATTTCCTTTCTAGTTCTGTCTTCAAATCTGAAAATTACATCTTCCTTACATTGGTTTTTGTTTATGCGCAAGCTATGTTTGTTGAATGGAATTGCCACGTCAGCCTTATGATACATGTACTGCTCCTTTTTTTTTTGAAAAGACGGCAAATGATTTTGCTTTGCTGAAAATATTATTAGAAGAAGACAATTGGCCCAGTTTATAAGGGAATCTGGTCCCAAAAACCGCACAACTAGGGGTACAAACCACGAACAACTTGATTTGTAGAACACAACTCGGGGTACACAATCATCCCCACACAACTTCAGTGCTCCAACCGTACAACTAGGGGTACACACCTGACACCTCCAGTCGAAAGACCAAAAGCCGACAATCCAATCGCTTGGCATCACAACTCACCTAGAAGAGCATCACTGAACACAACTTACAACTATCTCTGCACAAATTCACCGGCTAAGCACGCCGGGACAACTATGCTAGTCCAAACATCAGGGCAACTACTCAAAGCTGTCTGCACAAAACCAAAAACTAACAAGGAAAAAGAGTGGCATCAAACCAGATGGAAAGCGCCAAGCCACAGAGCTGGAATAGCCTAGCGAAGCATTCAAGAAGCCAACGGCACCGGGGAACAGTGGATCTGCCCTCCAGGCCATCGACGCCCCCCAAGTTGATCTGGCCAACCCTGATGCCAAACCACCAAATGCCACAGGAGCAGAAGAGAGGAGGGGGAGGAAGGAAAGGGAAGGGAGGGGAGAAGGTGCAGGGGAGAGGGCTGAGAGGGCCTCGCCACCATCCTCCTCACTGCTCGCCAGGCCTTTGGCAGGCAGCTCTGGCGGCGGCAGAGGCAGCGATAGGGTTGAGGGAGGGGTGCTGACAGGGGATATGGGTGCTGCCTGATGCGGACGATGTGGGGGTTTTCTCCACTGTACTATGTCATGCTTTCATTGGGGAAAAAATCACATCTTAATTGCTCGTTTTTCATTATGAATGAACCAATGTTGAGATAGCTAAATCAGTTATTTCATATCCTCTTTTTACATTTTGTTCTAAAACCCCAACGCATATATTTGTGATGCAGGTACCCTTACTTTGCTGCAGTTCTCAACTTTAGTCAATATTGGGCCCTGTACTGTCTAGTAGCATGGTATACAGCTACCAAGGACGAATTGGCACCTATAAAGCCTCTGGCTAAATTTCTTTCTTTCAAATCGATAGTATTCTTGACTTGGTGGCAAGGTGTGGTGATTGCAATAATGTATGCTTTGGGCCTTCTTAGAAGTCCTTTAGCCCAGAGCTTGGAGTTAAAATCAAGCATTCAAGATTTCATTATTTGCATAGAGGTATTCATCCTTCCAGAGTGTCTTTTTATTATACTAGCAAATATGCCCGTGCGTTGCAACGGAAAAAACTATCTAATGTTAAGGTAAAACAAATCTTGCTAGAATTTTTTTTCTTTAATCATAAGGCACAAAGATGTACCCATAATGATAACATAACTTTAACTTTATAGTATCCATGTGTTGGTAGATATCGAGTTTGGTGACTCTTTTGAAGGACTCATAAAAATTTGTCAAACCGAATTTTCTTCGGTTATTGCGGTTCCTCAATATCAGGAACCAAATTTTTCGTTTCCGGTTCTTTCGGTTTTGGTTAATTATGTTTAGGCCTACAAACTTGTATAGATGTGTTTTGTCTTAGAATCAGACTCTAGACAGTGATTGCATCATCAATTTCATTTCGTTTTGAATCAAACTCTCTACCATGCATGGATGCGGCTTTCTCTAACATGGACATTAGATATTTTATATTATATATATATAATATGCAGATTAATCTAATACATGCAATGCCATGGTTTTACACTTCTTTTGTCCCGTAAACTCTAAGGTGTTAACTACTCGTTGAATAGAATTTTTTATCATAGATCATATAAAGCATGTGGTGCGGTTTTCTATTATTTATCTATTTATTATAATTTATATGATTTTCTGTTATTTATTTATTTATATAATTTATATATATGGGATCTGGGTACAATCCTTGGCTAGGCTTGTATTTTTTGCTTTTTTCCCACAGGTGTACGAGTAGGCTTGTATTTTTTCCGTTTTTTTTATAGGTGTTGGCGGTTTCCTCGCTGAACAAAAAAGAAACTAAACAAAGAAATTCTACCCTTCTTTCCTTTTTATTAGATTTCTATTCTTATATTTTTATAATTGGATTAAGATTCCTATTCCGGTTATTTGGAGTTGGAGAGATCTAATTGGATTAATATAGGATTCCTAGTTGTCCATATTATTATATTTTTCCTATTTGGATTAAGATTCCTATTAACTCCCCGATTAGGATAGGACTATATTAAGGGTCAGCTTTGAGCCCTTATCTGTTTGCCTTAGTGATGGATGAGGTCACAAGGGATATACAAGGGGACATCCCTTGGTGTATGCTTTTCGCGGACGATGTAGTGCTAGTTGATGAAAGTCGGACAGGGAGTTATGGCGGAAGACTTTGGAGTCCAAAGGTTTTAGACTCAGTAGAACTAAAACTGAGTATATGAGATGTGACTTCGGCACTACTACTCGGGAGGAGGAAGATATTAGTTTGGAAGGTCAAGTAGTGCCTAGGAAGGATACATTTTGATATTTAGGATCAATGCTACAGAGAGACGGGGATATTGATGAAGATGTTAGCCATAAAATCAAAGCAGGGTGGATAAAGTGGCACCAAGCATCTGGTGTCCTATGTGACAAAAGGGTACCACAGAAGCTAAAAGACAAGTTTTATAGGACGACGATTAGACTTGCTATGTTGTATGGTGCAGAATGTTGGCTTACGAAAACACGACATGTTCAACAGATAAGTGTTGCGTAAATGCGTATGTTGCGTTGGATTTGCGGTCATACAAGAAGGGATCGAGTTCGGAACGATGATACACGTGATATATTAGGGGTAGCACCAATTGAAGAAAAGCTTGTCCAACACCGGTTGAGATGGTTTGGACATGTCCAACGGAGACCTCCAGAGGCACCGGTGCGTAGTGGAATCCTAAGTCAAGATAGTAACGTGAAGAGAGGCAGAGGAAGACCGAAGTTGATTTGGGTAGAGGCAATAAAAAGAGACTTGAAAGGATAGAATATACCCAAAGACTTAGCCTTAGATAGGAGTGCTTGGAAAACAGTTATTCACGTGTCTGAACCTTGATTGCTTCTGCTGGGTTTCAACTCTAGCCTACCCCAACTTGTTTAGGACTTAAAGGCTTTGTTGTTGTTGTTGTGGTGGTGGTGGTTGGATTAAGATTCCTATTCACAAGAAATCGGAGAGATCTAATTGGATTAGGACTCCTAGTTATATATAGAGAAGGGCTATAGGTGGTTTTCCACATTCACAAAGTTAGTTAAGGGATGGCCGGACAAAAAAAATACGTGGAGAGAAATTTTGCCTCTTTATTATTATAGGTATAGATAGATAAATAATTTATCGATTAGTTTTGAGTCCTATCCTAATTTGATACAGACTCTGAGAAGGGCAGATTGGAGGACGGAAAAAAGAATATAGGAAAAAAAATCATACGAATAGAACCCGGAGTGGAATAGAACCCGGACTGGAATAGGAAAAAATATATACAAGCATACCGGAGTGGAAAAAGAGGCAGAAAAAAAAGTTATGGCAGAAAAAAAGTTATGGCGGAAATTTTGCCTTTTTATTATTAGGTATAGATATATTCGCCTTTGCTTAAAAGAATCCATTTCTTTCATGTTTATGTGGCTAGTTGTAGATATCTGATAGCACCATGTCTTCCTCCAGGACAGATGGGCATTGCTTCAGTTGTTCACCTCTATGTGTTCCCAGCCAAGCCCTATGCACTCTTAACTAATCAGTCACCTGGAAACATTTCTGTACTTGGGGACTATGTGTCCTCTGACCCTGTGGACCCTTTTGAAATTAAGGAAAGCAACCGGCCTACCAAAATGAAGCTTCCACAGTTGGAACCAGATGAGAGAAGCGTGACAAACATAAAAGAAAGTGTTCGGGACTTCGTTGTCGGCAGTGGAGAATATGTGAGTTCTGGGACCAAATCTTCTTTCTGAGCACTACCGACAAATTTCCTCTCTTTATACATTATTAGGTTGGGCTTTGAATTTTTTTGAACCAGTAGAATAAATCTTACCTTGACACGGTCTAATATGTTCTCTTCTATTATGTAATTTATGGGTTGTGTGGGTTTGCAGAATATGTTTGTGAGCATAATTTCCATGCTTTGTCGTGTTTTCTTCTCCCCATTAACTTAGGTGATCAAGGATTTCAAATTCACTGTTAACCAAGCAGTGCGGCCAGTGGAGAAGCGCTTTGATAAATTGATGAAAAGGAATGATAAGCGTAAGAAAAGCCAGGATGACAACTGGGTGAGTGCAGCAACACCAGAGAGACCTGTTCGTGGGATTGATGATCCATTATTAAGCGGAAGCACTAGTGACAGTGGTGTCACAAAGGGCAAAAAACATCGCAGAGTTATGAGCTCAGCTGCTACTGCGGACAGCTGGGGAGGTGGTGATCAAGCTTCTGATGGATATGAGATCAGGGGTCGCCGCTGGGCTGTAAAAAGCTAACGATTCTACTTTGCGAGAAGGTAAATTCAAACTATATCACGTGGAAAAAAAAAGGACTCGTAGGTTTGCATTTGCTGGTAAACTCGATGGCAACTGTGACTGCGATACTGGCCATTTTGGAACTTCGCAAGTTCAGACTGTCTTTGTATAGGTATACTTAGGTAGTTGATAATGATAGGTAACCTCTGTGCATAGATTGTTAATTTCTTTTCTTTTTCTTGGTCAAGTTGGTACTGATATGTGGTGTTGCAAAAATGTAGAAGTACAGTAGTTTTTTTTTTCATTCTTTGGAAATGGAAACGCTTGTTCTTGCTTAATTGTGTCCATTTGGACATATTTGTGTAAACACAGTTACATGGATTATTGATCTGAACAACGATACACTGCATAACTGAGAAGTGCCAGAATTTCATACTCTCTCGAGTACCAGAACAGTAGTGAAGGACGCTGATGTTGTATTTTTCTTTCTCCTCGAGGAATAATGTGTTGTGTTAATACGGAGTATCTGTATTGCATCCTGCATGTGTAGAAGTGAATTTCTGAACAAAAAATGAAACTTTAGTCTGTAAAATGGGCCTGTCTGACTGCTGCGCATGGGCCGATTAGGCCTAAATCAACATTTGTATACACCCTTTATTTTGACGCTGAAAGGAGTGTTACAATTCCACACAAGTTCAGTTCATCTCGTAGTCTTTCGTCGTTGCAGGCGTATCAAAAGTAGGGTGTGACGGATGATTTTTCAAAACGTGTTGTATGCAGTGAACTCATGCAGAGGAAGTTATTGCATCAACCAACCTCAAACTTCTCCCTCGCTCAGTGGATCCAAGAAGCATAGAACTCGTATCGCACGCTCGACAGACCCTCAAATGGACCAGCCATCCAAAGCCAGCACACACCTGACTGAGACCTGCTCCAAGCCTCCAACTAAGGTGATGACGTGATGAGAGGGACCCCGCCCGTCCTCCAATCGGCTGCTCGCCACATTCTCTCCCCTGACACACGGGCCCACACTGGCGTGGTCTACTACTCCATGCCTCCTGCGCCTGCGCGTGCGGCCCCGGGCCCTCCTGTCCATCGGCGCACGATCTGGCGATCTGCGCTGCCTCAGGGTCGGCTGCTAAACCTGTCGTTAACCGAGGTAGTAGGGACGAACGAGCGAGCCACTACTGATTCCATTCCGGGGAATCTGAAGTTGTTTACTCCCTGTAGTACTCGGATCGGACAGCAAAGCAATCAGTTTCGCAGGCCAACTCACAGCTCTTAATTAATGAGCCTTTGTGTGTGTGCGCGCGCGCTGGGACAGGGAGGTTTGACCTCACAGGACTTTGTTAATGACACTACCCAATAGCATGTTGTCATTTTTTTTTTGAAATAATAGCATGTTGTCATTTTGGACATTGTTAATGTGAGATCATGTGTGCCATTCGTGGGTTGTTGTTTTTTCCACTTGTGTTCGGTCGTGCCTCAGCTGTAACCGTCATCGTGCCTAGGTGCGTTGTACTCTTCTGATGTGTGTATTCCGTGGTTTGCCACACTTATATCAATAAGAAATCAGACCGGCAATCGCCTACTGTAGTTCCTTTAAAAAAACATTATGTTTTGCATGTACACATAAATAAAATTAAGATGGTTTGGCCCTTTGTTGGCGCCGAGATCGATTCCTCTACGAACGACGAAGTTAGAGTGACTTTGTCACAGGTGGCGCGACGCTCATCAGATCCAGACAAAATCACCGTGGCCTCAAATGTGGAGAAGACTCAATTCTTGGCGCCACCTTTTTGTTTTCTTTTCTTTCGATCAAAAGACAGTAGAGACCTGGACTGTAATCGTCCAGGGACTAGGGGCTCCAGCCTCCAGGTACCGCCATGCGCCATCACCACCCACCAAGAGCTGATTTCGTCCGCACTTGCCATCTGTTTTCCACGCCACGCATGGTGCGTGACTACGTACGTGATCCTCCCCAACACAATCATAGAAGGCCACCCGGCGGTTTGTTGGCGCCATCCTAAGCAAAGTGACGGGCAGGCCGGCCGTTACACTGTGCAGTCTCCCAGTCCTCAGTGTCAGTGCTCCACCAGCAACCGTGGATCCCTAAACCCAACGCAGATCGCACCACATCAGGGCCTTTTCTAATGGCCCATGCGACTGCCCCATGTGCTCCTAATCTCCGACGTAAACTAACCCCGTCGCGGTCAGTGTCTGAAATCTCCCCCCACCCCAATCTCGTCGTGCCATGTGCTCCCAAGTCACCCGCTCCTCCCCTGATCAAATCGTCAAGCTATCAAAGCGACCAATGGGGCATTAACCACTAGGAACAAAGCAGAGCTCCCAATTAAGCAGCCAAGACAGTACGCCGGAGGGACACCTGTGCGCTTGCCGGCGCAAACGTCAGTGCTGAGGAAATTACTCTTGCTCCTCCCGTCCCTCCGATCCGTGCTGGACGTACTGAATTATTGGAGCCGGCGCTTACTGTCACTGATAGGTGCCGGCAATGCAAATCCAGCTCAGGGATGCCATCAGTACGTGCTTGATTGCGAAGCCCTCGACCCTTCTTATCTGCTCCAACAACTAAAGTGGTACTAATCGGTACTAGCTTGCTTCCAGTCGATCGGAGCCGCTTCAATTATTATGGGGCTGAACCTGACCTGACTCTTTCATTCGGCTGTTCGTTTGAACTGGTTTGGCTTATAAGCTATGGCTGAAAGTATGGTTGGTTGGTTTAGTGTGAGAGAAAAATACTATTCGTTGGCTGATAAGTTATGACTTATAAGCCAAATACGACCAAACGAACAGGCTGCTAGTCGCTTTCGTAACACTACTCCAAGATATAGACCCATAGACAGTCATTTTTCTTTTTCCAAAAAAGATACTCCCTCCGTTCCAAATTATTAGATATTTTTTATTTTTCTAGATTCATAGTTTTTTGCTACGCACTTATATATATATGTTATGTTTAGATACATAATGGCTCTGTTCGTTTCTCTTGTAATCCGTCTTTTTCAGCTTGTTTTTTCAGGCGGAACAGTGTTTTTCTCTTACAACAAATCAGCCGGAACAATATTTCGGCTTATTTTTTCAGCAAAGCGAACGGGGCCAATAAAAGCTATGAATCTAGAAATGCCAAAACGCCCTATAATTTGGGACAGAGGAAGCTATAAAATATCTCCTATAACTAAAAAGAACAAAAGTAAGATAACTTTTTGGTGCGACATTTTTTTTTTCGCCCTTCCCTCCCTTGCGATACCCGTCCCGGTGCGATCCCCCGCGCCGACAGGTGGGCCTACGTACCCGTGCGATCCCCCACAACCTCCCCATCTCGCGCCCTCTCTCTTCTTCGAGGGTTTGGCTGCCGCCATGGCGAACCGCCCGCCCTACTCCGCAGCCACAACCCACAACTGGAGCGCGCGCGAGCGCAGACACAGGACACAACCGAGCACGGAGCAACGCCGCCCTCCCCAGTAGCGCCTCCCGGCCACGCACCCACGCCCCAATCCTGCCGGGCCGCGTCGCAGACTCGCCGCCTGTTACCATTCACCTCGGCAGATCCAGCATGGCGCGCGGATCCTCGCCGATTTGTTCCCGGCGGCGCATCAGAAGGTGGGATCTCTACTTCCGACATCAATCACTGGAGCACTCTCTCGGTTTCATCCGTCGGAGATGAGGACCCCGACGAAGACCCAACAGGTATGCCCACCCTTCTCTTCCCTTCGTGTCGTGCGAAACCGATCACCCGAACCCTGGCTATATTTGCATTCAGATCTGATCTAATTACAAGTGTATACATGTATCCCTTTCAAAGATATCAGAGGTACATGTGCACACCCAATGTGCTTTACTAGATCCGCACCTGTGATTCTGTGTGCTTTGATCTGCTTTCCTCTTAATGTTCTAGCCCTTGTGCTCCTCATCCTTCTATTGTATTAATGGACGAACCTACATCAGGATTGGATGCTAGATCTGCAGCCATTGTAATGAGGACAATGCGTAATATTGTTAATGCAGGACGGACCATTGTTTGCACAATCCATCAGCCAAGTATTGACATATTGGAATCATTTGATGAGGTAAAAGGAGTAACCGAGAAGTCATTATCTAAGATATTGATTATATAAACATGAGAGTGGGTTAATACTGACAAACATTCTAAAAATCTTACATATCTGTGATGAAATCTCCACTAATTAGTTATGCTTATGGACTTTCAGTTTCCGAAGTAAAACACTATGATGTTAAATCTATTTTGGAGTAACAATCATCATGATGAGAAATTTTAGTCTGAACTTTGATTGGTGGAAGTTCCATTGTTCTCATTTACTTAACCTACTATTTCCCCCCTGATAGTACTATGTATAATATGATTACAATGCTTAACTTGCATATGCTGCTCAGCTTTTATTCATGAAGCGTGGAAGGCAGCTTATATATGTTGGTCCCTTAAGGTGCCAAATCGCGTAATCTCGTTGAATTTTTTGAGGTATGTTCTGCAGTATGTGTTTTCTGACTTGCACAAACTTAAGCAAAGCCTCTGTCCTCACACTCTCATATTCGGGAATAGGCAATTCCAAGAGTACCTAAAATCAGGGACGGCTATAATCCTGCTACATGGATGTTGGAAGTTACAAGCACTCAAATGGAGCAGATTCTTGGAGTGGATTTCGCTGAATACTATTGGCAATCAAAATTATTTCAGTAAATATAATATACCTGTTGACACAAAATGTGACGCACTGTGCCGCACACACAGCAAGCCGAAAAGCGTAGCTTCAATCGGGTGCCCGGGTGCTTCGTGATCCGGAACGTGCCAGTCAGTTTGACCTGAAAGAAACTGACAAGGGATAAAACAGTTAAATGTCAAACCGGAACATGTCGGGTGAGACCGAGACATAGCCCGTATATATACGCCCCTCGCCACTTACAACGACATACGACTATAGGAAGTCATGCGCCAACAAGTTTATAAATCATTCGCTAATCGTAGGATGGACATACGTAAAGATCTG